TTGCACAGTACCCATTCCCTTGATGTCTACAATATCACCCTTTTTGTAGATTCGCATGTATGTAGCCAAAGGAACAACCCCATGTTTTCTAAAAGGCCTGGAAAACATATACCGGGTTCCCCTCCTCTTGCCCTTTGTGTTAGTCATTTTGGCAAATTACTGGAAGATGGCGGTTCCGGCCGAAAGGGAGTTATGTGTATTTTTAAGAGAAAAAAAATAGTATTTGTTTTATGAAAGTAAGGTAAATCAACACCCTTTAACCAATACCAAACCAAAACATCTTGCTTCCTGGCTGGGTGTGACAGTACAGAACTATAATCCTAGCACTTAGGAAGCTGAGGCTCAGGAGGTTCATGACCAGCGTGGGCTACACAGTGAGTTTAAGCCTGCCTAAAATACCCAGAAAGACCCTGCCTCCAACAAACAAAAAACAAACACAAAAATCTGCTGCTTTGAGCAATAGCTTGTTTGGCTACTCAAGGCTTATGTCACCAAGAAGGCCAAATTCTAATTCTTACATCTTTTTCTTGCCTCCATAATCCCACTTAATCTTGAACAGATGTGAATCTTATTTCTTGTAAGGTATATTCAAGACCTCAAGGAAACATTGTAACAGCCCAAATGCAACATAACACAACCATTTTACTCTAGGAAGGCTGAAGTCCACTCACTTTTGAGTAGGTTTTGGTTTGGTTTCTGATCTTTAGAGACAAAGTCTTGCTTTGAAATTCAGAGTGGCCTCATATAAGCCTTGTGCCTCAGTGCTAGGATTATAGGCTCATGCAACTTAAAGATGTTTGCTTATGATAGTATTTGTTTCCATTTTAGTGCAAAACCTTGATTTTAAGAGTGAAAGAAGGGGCCAGGGAGATGGCTCAGTAGGTTAAGTGCTTCCCTGGCAAGCCCAAGGTCCCGAGTTCAATCCCTGGTTCCGCCAAAAAAAAAAAAAAGAGTGAAAGAAAAACAGACCAAATCGAAGGGGGGGGGGGAAGACAAAAAATTTTAAATCACAAAGCACGTAGGTGGGCTGAAGATGTAATTCAACAGAAGAGTGTATGCCTTAGTATAAGTAAGGCTCTGGGCTCATCCTGCCCCCAACATCATGCAAAATGATACAAAGCCATCACAAAAATAAGACTGCTTCTCACATGGTTCCACTCAGTTACTTTGTACTGGGCTGTGGGGCTGGTGAGATAGCTCAGCAGCCTCAAGCACCTGATACCTGGCACCACAAGCCCACCAGCTCCGCCCCCAGGGTGGGCTGAGCTACTCCCCCACCCACACATGTGACACACACACACACACACACACACACACACACACACACAGAGTATATACTGGGCTGTGAAACATTTTCCCTTAGTCTTGCCCTGATGGAAGCTGTATTTCTGGTTCCCAGCTTTTACAGTTCTTACAGAACAAGCATAAAACACATGGTACATTTCCTACAAGGTAATTTTTTTATCCCCTTTATTACTTACTTCCATATAGTTTCAAATAGTAACCTTTATCAGTCATCCAAAGTTATTATAAAATTGGGCTGGGGAGATGGGTCAGTGGAATAAGTGCTTTCCTGGCAAGCATAAGGGCCTGAGTTCAATCCCCGGTTCCGCCAAAAAAAAAAAAAAGAGTGAAAGAAAAACAGACCAAATCGAAGGGGGGGGGGGAAGACAAAAAATTTTAAATCACAAAGCACGTAG